AATTCCATTGTGTATATATACCACATTTTCTTGATCCATTCATCTACTGAGGGGCATCTGGGTTGGTTCCATATCTTAGCTATGGTAAATAATGTTTTAATATTGAGACAAACTACTTTCTGAAGAGCATTACAGTGTTGAAGAAGCATAAACGTCTACTCAACAAATATTTATATTAGTCATATTTGTCTGAAAATGGGTGAATATAAAATAATTGCTATATATCTAAGTTTTGTTAAGTGAAATCACTGTCATTTTGTGTTCTATTTGAACATAATTCTTTTTTTTTCTTTTTTTTGTCCATTGTGGGGTCTAAACTCTAGGCCTGGGCACTATCCTTCAGCTCTTCAGCTCAAGGCTAGCGCTCTACCACTTGAGCCACAGTGCCACTTCTGGCTTTTTCTGCTTATGTGGTGCTGAGGAATCAAAACCAGGGCCTTATACATGCAAGGCAAGTGCTCTACCACTGAGCCACCTTTCTAGCCCTGAACATAATTCTTTAATACTCTATGCATTCAAAACTTCAAAAGTAGAATATAAAGATATTTCTCTTTGATTATTAATAGATATCTTAAACAAAAATGATTATTATACTCTAGTAAAACATTTTAACACATGAAAAATGTCTTTTCATACATTTTCTAAATACATAAACCCAAATTTTAAGAAAATTAGGTATACCACTATAACAACCAAAGTTCAAATACAGGAAATAAATTTCCTTTCAACTATATAGTTTTATATTGGATATCCTTAAGCCATATTACATTTTATTTTAACCTGGTTTTGATGGTTAAACTTGTATTTATTTTCTGTTTTTACTCAGTAATTTCATTCTCATATTTTCAGATGAGAATCCTTTTTTCCATCTGTTTGTTTATTTGTGTGTTTGACAGGTCTCATTCAGTAGTCCAGGTTAAGCTTGAATTTGAGATCCTCCTGCCTCTGCCTCCCAAGTGCTAGGATTACAGATGTCCACCACCATGAATGAACTCTTATATGTATATGTGATGTTAAGGAGGGAGAACCCAGAGAAGGCCTTCTGCATTTTCTGCGAGTGTTCTCCCACTGAGTAATATCCCTGGTCCCCCAAAATTTTCACTTAAGCCCTACCCTCCTCAGCTTTGTGGGAACTTGGTTTACCTGAACAGAAGTCAATGTGAACACCTCACATCTGGAAAACACTTTACTGTATGTCCTATGTAGCCAATGTCAAAGCCAGTTTCTATGCAGTAGGAATATGTGAGTTTAGTCTTTCTTAATAGTTTGAGTGTATCATTCTTTTGAATGTTTCACATAGTTTTTGTCCTCTCTTCATTATTAGATCATTTTTGAAGCAGAACGTGGCAAGGGCAAAACTGGAGAAATAGCAGTGGACGGCGTCTTGCTAATCTCAGGCTTCTGTCCGGATGACCTTCTATCTGTGGAAGGCTGAGTGCTGCTATCAACTTTTATATCTTTATATTTGCCTTTTTATATCATTCTCTTTTTATATTACATTATAAGCTCCTCCAATTTAGAAATACAAACTGAAAAATTATATTGTACCAATGGAAATGCCATTTTTAAGATTCTTTTCTTGTATCAAGTGTGCCAATGTTCACTTTAAATATACTACCACTGTAGCATTTCGTTCATTTCTGGAATTTCCACGTTATATTATAAAAAGTGGAGGTGGAAGTTCATGTTCCCAACGCAGTAGATCTGCTTTTTCTAGTTGACTTGATGAATTTCTCAATCAATAGTTTGGAATAAAGACAAAAACAGTTTAAAAAATGGTTAGCTGTTTGACTTTTGTGGTGATTCTTGGAAATTGTGACATTAAAAATAATCTTTGCCTAAGTGTCTCAGACTGAACTTTAATAGCTAAACTTGAGTATTTGAATGATTTGCAATAATAATATCCAAATGATCATCCATTACATGGTATGTTGATGATTCTATGTGTATGAGTATTTGGTTTTTAAATATTTTTCATTATGAAAATACTTCATATTGTTTAATTTTTTAAAAATTTCTGCTATGGGAAAAGATGAATGCTTCAGTAAGTCTCATCTTCCAATGTAAATTAACATATCTTGTTAAATTTAAGAACTCAGAGGGCTACCAAAATATAAATTATCAAGTAAAAGGACTAAAAACAGAAAAATTAAAAATTGATGCTTTTATTTTCCATTTCTCTTTTCTCAAATCCAAGAATAGCTTTGTGCGGCCAAGAATCTTGATTGTATTCGTCAAGAGCAGCATTGGACTCTCCCTCATTTATTATGGTTTATGACTTTTTGGTTTTATGATGGTGCGTTGAATTCAGGATCATTCTATTTTCTCAGGCTATCAATATGTGGTAGGATCCTCGTTAGGCTGAGCCGTAGCATTGAGGTCTATCTCCCAGTCGGCCATGTGATCATGAGAATTAACAAGCACATTCTGTGGTCGATTGTGTTGCTGCAGAGTTTAAGGATATTGTGCTTTGTCTCACATCCCATCATGTCTCCAAAACACCCATCTGTGTCTATCCATGAAGTATTCAACACTTTTATTATAAAAACAAAACTTGGATGATTTCCCTCAATGATAGTATAATGTAAGTATTCTGAACACCTTTGAAATACAAGGTTACTTGTGACATGTAACAGAGATATAGCACTTTGACTTGTGATATTTTAATTATATGATAGCTTTATCAGGACATAATCTCAGAGAAACATCTGTATGGATGAAATGGAGAAACAGCTATATTATTGAAGATTCTACATCAGAAACAGGTCTAAAACAGTTCCCAAATAGAAGGTTCCTCAGCTATTTTCTTTTATTATTTTCTTTAGTATATTTTCTTTCATCTTTGTCATTATCTTTAAGTGGTTGTACCAAAGTTCAATTCAACATATCAATTTATGGCTGCAATGCATCTTGAATAGCACCACTCCAGCTGTTTTCTTTCACCTAAAGCAATGAAAGTATAGAACCAAGTCTCATAGGAGTGTGGTAATGCATATATGGACCCTGCTCTCTACATGGTGGTTTGTGCCACAGCTGAGTAAGTCTGAATTAGAAAACTCCCAATCCTATAAAAGGGCTGATAGAATACCTGCTGAGAGTTTGCACTGGAGGGAGATCTTCAATACCTTGGTTAAGAAGTAAAGATCTGCGAACAGAAAGGAAGACCCCCATCTCCATTCTCTAACCATACCCCCACTTCTGTTCCGTAAACAAATATCCTAGAAAATACAGTATAAAGCAAAAGCTGTTGATGCTCTTGTGCCAAAGAGGGGAAAACCACAAGACACTCATCCCTTGAACAACCATTTGAAGGTGATTTTTAAATTATCATTAGAAGATAGTATTTAGAAATTTTCACCAGGTGGAAAACTTTTGGTTTAAAGTAGACGTTAAACTTTTGGTTTCAATTACAAGTGTGTTATTTACTAGTGGTTTAACATTATGACAATAACTTAGTTGTGCTATTTAAGTAATGTGAATAAAACAAGTGGTTTATATATATAAATACGTATATATATATATATGCATTTGTGCCTTAAATGTATATTGTACCTTAAGATACAAATATATTTTTATATATTTCTAAATATATGTTAATATTTATATAAAATATTGATATATGAATATATATGTAAATATATAAAATATAAATATATATTTTAAGGCACTCATAGAGCTTTACTTCCCAACTTCAGACTCTATAGATTTCTGGAATCTGTTAGCTGAAAGAATGACTGAAAGAGTGGGATAGGGGTGATGGCTCCTTACCAGTCCACAGGATTGCAAAGAACATTCACTCCTTTGATACAAGCCTAGCTCACCTTCTCTAAGTGAAGTGAGCTAGTACTTTGTGGAACATGCTTTTCTAGGACTGCTATTTAAATCTTGCTCAGTCAGATCATAAGGTAACAGTTATGGGATTTAACTTCAGCAAAATAAATAAACATGGGATGAAATCATTCCACATTTTGAGGGAGAACTATCAGAATTTTAGAACATGTTATAATTTGATACTCTGCTCTGAAAGCAGTTGTTTTTGAGTTCACATAGTCTTTCCTTTTAGAACATTTATAGTGTTTTTGGAAAATTGACAGGATGAATTCGATAATAACTACTTAGCATCATTTTGGATAAATGCAATTCTTGGGGAAGATGAAATGCTATCAGACTAGTAATCCAAAGCACCGATAGTTTCTCTCCAAGAAAGAATAGAGGCAAGGCATATTTCTATTTTAAAATTGGATTTTATTGAATACTGGTAAATTTTATGACTTGAATATTTATAATTTTTTTATTTGTATTGAATGTTTTAAGTGAGTTTTTTTTAACTCCTTTGGCAAATCTGTGGTCCTTCAAGGCTTAGATTGAATGACTATCTAAAAACTGCCCATGTAAATGATTCTCCCATTCAACCAGACCCTGATCACAAATACCAAATAGTTTTTTTCCATTTTTTTCTCCATTCAAAGTATGTAGATATAGCTTCATTCTATCTTGTTAGGGAATGTGTATAAATAAGAATTATTTTCCATGAGAAAATGGGGTTGTAGATTGGAGTATTTATAACCATTTTGGATTTTTAGAATGCTTTTTGGTAGTGCTGAGGTTTTAATTCAGCTTTTCACACTTGCTAGGAGGCACTCTACCAATACACCTTCTGTCTTTTTGCTTTGGTTATTTTTCATATAGGGTCTCACATCTTTGCTCCATGTAGCCTAGATTATAATCCTCTTATTTATGCCCCCTTGGGTAGCTGGTATGACAGTCACACACCCCCATACCAAGCTAACTATTGGTTGAATGGAGTCTCACTAACTTTTTGCCTGAGGTTGGCCTTGAACCTCAATCCTCCCAATCTCCACCTCCCAAAGTGCTGAGATGACATACATAAGCCACCAGGCCTGACTTGGAACTATGTTTTTAAATGTAATATCAAGTTATTAAAAGTAATTTTAGTGTTGCACACTAAATTTTAGTGTTGTACACACAAAAAATGTGTAAGATGTGGAAATGGCACTGTGGCTCAAATGGTAGAGTGCTCGCTTTGAGCAAAAGAAGCTCAGAGACAGCGCCCAGGCCCAGAGTTCAAGCCCCAGGACTGCAAAAAAGATATGTCAGATGTTTTACAAATAACATATCTGGGAGTGTGATCATGGAAATTTGGCCTGGAACCAAGAAGGAATGCCCCGAAGTAAGCCTATAATAGAAAGATTAAGCTGGAGATGTGGCTGAAGTAGAAGAATACCTACCTGGCTTATAAGCATACAAAGCCCTCAGTTCAATCCCCAGTACTGCAAAAAAATAATAGTAAGGTTACTTGTGCAAAAAAGTTCTCATACCTTTACTCAATTTGAGATCATATAGTTTTCCATTTCTAGGTTATTGTTCTGTTCACTTGTTCATTTGATATTGTTTCTGCTACTCTGGGAATATTTTCTGTAACATCCCAGAAGAGTTCTGGATTTAATGTAATTTGGCAAAAGTTAGTTATCTTTTGTCAGTAATTTCTTTGAGAGCTTATACCTATATATCACTAACAATGTTGCCAAAAACACATTTGAATTTGAATTCCTTTGGGGGGATATAAAAATCATATGTAATCAGGCTCCAGTGACATGCCTATAATCCTAGCTACTCAGGAGGCTGAGATCTGAAAATCATGGTTCACAGCCAGCCCGAGCAGAAAAGTCCATGAGACTCTTATCTCTAATAAACTACTTAGAAAAAGCCAGAAGTGACACTATGGCTCAAGTGGTAGAATGCTAGCCTTGAGCACAAAGAGGCTCAGGGACAGTGCCCAGGCCCTGAGTTCGAGCCCCAGGATGGGCAAAAAAAAATCATATGCAACTTGGCATTATCAGTTTGTGGTTAGGTGTCATTTATAAACAAAATCAGCATTACAAATCTGGAGTTTCACTGCTAGACAGACATAGACCTATCAGAAATATATAGTAACACTATTTGTAAAAAGTTTCAATGGAACAATCCATATAGCCATAATTTCTAATTTGAGTAGAACAGATAAACCATGGTGTATTAATATACTAGAAAGATATGAGAATGAACAACCTAATTCTACTCATGGCACATGAATTTGAAAATAGATTATTAATCAAATAAAGCAAGAAAGTACATTCTATATGCTTTAGTTATATAAGGTTAAAAGTGAGGCCAAAGAAGTCTATGGTAGAGAAATTGGGATATGTTTAGCTGTATGAGAAGGAAGGGAATATCAAGAGAAAATTTTAGGAAAACTAATAATTTCTGGAAAACTAATAATGCTTCTGCATGGTCATATTCAATTTACGAACATCATGAATGATAGTTATAACTTGTGCACTTTACATATATATATGGCCTATGTATGTTATACTTCAATAAGAATTTAGTTCAAAAAGTAAAACTGTTAATCCCCATCCCTCTTTAATATAAGCCTTGTGTATCTGACATCATTCCAGATGACTTGAGACACCTAGAATAAATCCATCTGCCAATGCCAGACAGGTTTTAACTAAATTAGTGACCATCTGACAACTAAAGGTAAAAAAAAAAAATACCACCTGAAACACAGAGATAGTTCAACAGTCCTTAGAGCTGAGGAAATCATGCCTCTGGCTCAGTAGTCAGGATTTTCACCTGCCCCCACATTTATTGGTCTTTCTGGGCAGTGTTAAAGTCTCCACAACCCTCCATTCCTACCCCGCACTTTTGAATCCTGTTGCTTGTTTTACAGTCCTTTTCTTTCTAAGATGAGTCAGCTACGCTGAGGCTGCTCTTCAACCGAGCACAGGACACTTGTATTTGCAGCCTTCATTGTTTTATGAAGATGTTCCACATGCGCC